TCTGGTGTAATGCTCGCCAGAACCGGGATGTGAACTGAACGCCCCGGTCGGACACCACGCGCTCAGGTAGGCCATGCAGGCGGAAGACATGCTGAAGGTACAGCTGAGCAGTTTCCTTGGCTGTGGGTACAGATGGACAGGGAGCGCAGTGCACCATCTTGGTGAAATGGTCGGAGAAAACCAGAAGGCAGGTACAGCCACGAGACGAGGGTAAGTCCACTACAAAGTCCAACGAAACCGTGTGCCAAGGGCGCGGTGGAACTGGCAATGGCTGAAGTAGGCCGGGGGGTCGCCCGGTAGGTCCCTTGGCGCGCCGGCAGACATCACAACCAGCAACGTAGCGAGCCACGTCAGCCTTCAGGCGGGGCCACCAAAACTCACGACTGACCAGATGGGTGGTCCGATACCGTCCAAAGTGCCCCGCTGCTGGGGCATCATGGGCCATCCGGAGAACCTCCAGCCGTAGTGGCCCTGGCGGGATGTACAGACGACCGTGGTGCAGCAGAAGGCCCTGATGCAGGACCAGCCCTGGATACTGTGGGCTGGACCCTTCAGCCAGCTCCCGGAGTCGTTCCTGGGCCCAAGCGTCAACCCGCTGCTGTTCCCGCACCCGAACCTGCAGTGACTGCGCCTCCTGGGTGGCCAGGAATGCAGCCGGAGGTAGGATCGTGGTGGGTTCTGCTTGCTGTACCGTGTCTGCGTTGTCTTCAGGTTTCCGGGACAGGGCATCCGCCTTCTGATTCTGAGAGCTAGGGATGTAGCGGATCCGGAACTGGAACCGGGAAAAGAACAACGCCCACCGGATCTGTCTTTGGTTCAGCTTGCGGGTGGTCTGGAGATACTCCAGGTTCCGGTGGTCGGTTCTCACCTCCACCGGATGTCGTGCCCCCTCAAGATGGTGGCGCCAGACCTCAAAGGCTACCTTGATGGCCAGTAGTTCCCGCTCCCACACAGTATAGTTACGCTCCGCTGGTAGGAGCTGGCGGGAATAGAAGGCACAGGGTAAGAGTGGCGCTTCAGGACCAATCTGTTGAGACAAGACGGCACCGAGAGCCGTACTGGAGGCGTCGGTCTCCACCACAAAGGGTCGAGAGGGGTCAGGATGTTGTAAGATTGGTGCCCTCTGGAAACAGGCCTTCAACCCCTGAAACGCCTCCTCTGCCTCCTTGTCCCAGGAAAACGGCGTCTTTGGGCGCAGTAGCCGGGTCAACGGGGTGGTGCGATGAGCATAATCAGCGATGAAGGTCCGGTAGTAATTGGCGAACCCCAGGAAACGCTGTAGGTCCTTGCGGTTCCGGGGTGCCGCCCATTCTCGAACCGCTGTCACCTTCCCCGGGTCCATTTGCACCCCATCTGGAGAGAGCCGGTGACCAAGGAAGTCCACAGTCCGCTGATGGAACTCGCACTTGCTGAGCTTTGCGTACAAACGGTGCTCACGCAAGCGCTGCAGCACGGTCCGGACATGTCCCTCATGGCGAGCCGGGTCACGGGAGTAAATCAGTATGTCATCCAAATACACCACCACGTACTTGTCTAACAAGTCCTGAAACACGTGGTTGATGTAGCGTTGGAACACAGCAGGCGCGTTGCACAAACCGAAAGGCATAACCAAATATTCGAACTGCCCGTACCGGGTCCCAAACGCTGTCTTCCACTCATCCCCGGCTCGGATCCGAATCAAGTTGTAGGCCCCCCGGAGGTCCAGCTTGGTGAACACCTGTGCCCCTTGCACCCGCTCCAGCAGCTCCGAGATAAGGGGCAAGGGGTACCGGTCTGGGACGGTAATTTTGTTCAGGGCTCGGTAATCATGGCAAGGGCGGAGTTCCCCACATTTCTTCTTAACGAAAAGCACTGGTGCCGCGGTAGGCGAGGTGGAAGGCCTAATGAACCCACGCTCCAGGTTCTTGCGCAAGAAGTCCTGCAAAGCCTCGCGCTCTGGCTCTGTTAGAGAATATAAGCGACTCACTGGTAAAGGCGCTCCGGGTTGGAGGTCTATGCCGCAATCAAAAGGCCGATGCGGCGGCAGCTGGTCTGCCCCCCGTTCCTCGAACACGTCCTGGTAGTCCTGGTACACGGCTGGGAGCGTGGGTGCTGCCTCCTCTGAGGGCGCGGCCGCCAGCGTCCCGGATTGAGCATGGGAACATGGGTCTGGGAAGTGCACGGTCCGTTTGACCCAGTCAATCTGAACGTTGTGGGCTTCCAGCCAGTCCATCCCGAGCACCAGGGGGAAGCGGGGCATAGAGGCAATGTCCAAAGTTCGCAACTCCCGGTGCTGCTGGAGACACAGGACCAGGGGCTGGGTCTCCTGAGTAACGGCACCTGAACGCAGAAGTCGTCCGTCAATCGCTTCCACCTGGACCGGTACTGGCTTGTTCCGAAGTGGCACCTGATGATGGGCGGCAAAAGCAGCGTCCATATAGGAGCGGGTTGCCCCTGAATCTACCAAAGCATGGGTGAGGATCCAGGGCCCACCTGGAGGGTATAAACGTACCGAAACCATAAGATGTTGCAAGTCCATTGGTGCGGGCCCATTCTGCGTGGTTTGGGACCCCCGGTAGCTAGGGCCATCAGCTACTGGGGTTGGCGGTTTCCCTGCGGCTGGCGTTTTTCAGGGCAGGACCGAGTGAAGTGTCCACTTCCGCCACAGTAAAGACAGAGATTTCCCTCCCGACGCCGCGCCTTCTCTGCGGGGGAAAGGCGTGGCCGCACTGCCCCGAGCTGCATAGGCTCCTCCATTAAATCAGTTGTGACCGTGGGGCTGCCGGAAACAGCTGGTGCCGCGAACTGGAAGTGTCGGCGACCCCGGGCCTGACGACGATCCTCCAACCGGTCGTCTATTTGTAGACTCCGTTGAATGAGAGTGTCTAGCGTGGTGGGGCGTTCCATTGTGGCCAACTGGTCCAGTACCTCGTCCGAAAGCCCTTCGAGATACTGGTCCCGCAGTGCCGAGTCATTCCAGGTCAAGTCCTGTGCCAACAGCCGAAACTCCGTGGTACATGCGGCCACCGTGGACTTGCCCTGTTTCAAACGCTGAATCGCCCGGTTGGCTTGACTCCCTTTCTGGGGGTTGCCGAACGCGGCCTCCAAACGATTGCAAAACCCCGTATAGTCTGCCAGCAAGGGGGAGTCTTGCCTGAGTAGCGGCAACGCCCACTTGGCTGCCTGGTCCTTTAACAAACTAATCAAAAAGTGCACCTTGGTGCGGTCGTCAGGAAAGTTCCGGGCTCGCCCCTGAATATACAGCTTGGCCTGGGCCAGGAACATGGGAAAGCTGGCCGGGGCTCCATCAAATTTCTCAGGCAAAGCCACTGGGTACTTGCCAGGAGCCGGGGCGTCGGCCCCAGGAGCCGGTAGGGCTTCCAAGCGTTGCTGAAGTGCCGCAACCGCGTTACTGAGCTGCTGCACGGTGTGAGTCAAGGCCTGGTTCTCCTGGGCCAAAGCCACCAGTGCAGCCGCCTGGTCAGCCATGGCCTCTGGCTCTTCCCGAACGCACCTCTACGAAGGGGGAGTGCGGGTGTGGCGGGAGCAAACTGTGCTGGTCCCAGGGGTAAGGTACCGTGGGTGAAGCAGAGTCCACACAAAGAGGGGCGAGGTCCGAGACGGAGAGCCGGGCGGGGAACAGGAACGCTGGAACAGGAGGCTGAGCAGGGAACAGGAACACCGGATGGTCGGGAACAGGAGGCCGAGCAGGGAACAGGAGTACCGGATAGTCAGGAACAGGAAGCCGAGCAGGGAACAGGAGTACCGGATAGTCAGGAACAGGAGGCTGAGCAGGGAACAGGAGTACCGGATAGTCAGGAACAGGAGGCCGAGCAGGGATCAGGAACACAGGAAGGTCCGAAGCCAACAACGACGTTGCTCCCGCAACCTGGGGCCGGGCTGACTGGGCTTTTATCCTCTTCTAAGGCCAGGGGCGGTCCCGGCCCCCAGGAGCCCCGCCTCCTCTGGCCTTAAGGCGAGCACTCCTCCTGGGGGCAACCAGTTCCCTTCGCCTCTCTGCCCTAAGCCTCTGCAGATCAGGAGAGGCCGAAGGGTTACTGGGCCCTGGAGGAGGCTCACCTGTGGCCACTGAGTCGTCAAGCCCCTCTGGGGCCAGAAGGGCTTCACCTGGGGCCAGCTCCTGATGCACTGCCACAGGTGCAGGCTCTTCAGCATCTAGGCCTTGCCCCAGTTCAGCCGGCCCTGGAGGCGGGGACTCCTGTGCAGGCTGGGATTCCTCTGTTTCATCCTCCGAATCGGAATCCCAAGCCATCACACTGCAGCTGGAAAACCCTCTAGTGAAGCCATAGAAGAGGAAGACTCCAAACCCAGGGAATGTTGGTGGCACACGGAAGACAGGTCAGAGGATGAAGGGGTGGAGGCAGAATGGTTGAATGCTGAACAAGCAACAGGCTTGAGTGAGAGAGAGGAAGAAGAGGCAGAAAATGGCAGGTGTAGGGGAGGTGGGGGCCGAGGCTGCAACAGATTCACAGGAGCCTGCTGGTCCTACTGTATGCAGCTCTCCTCCCCCATTGTCTCCAAGCACTTGGAGAATTTTGCATGCAGCAGAATGACAAGCCCAGAGGTTGTAGTGGCCCCCTCACCAGCAGAGTTTAAGACTGCAGGGAAAACAGCTGGATGGGGAGGAGACTTAGGGGGAAGTGGGAAGCCCAGATCATCAGTTCTGGCAACTTCTTCAGTGGGGCCAGTCTCGTGTAGGATTTTCTTGTTTGTATTCTGTTTCCTTGAATAAAGAACCAATTTTACTGCTCAGCTCTGAGTCTCCGTACTGACCTGCAGCTGAACCAGCCCTGACATTGCATTTTAAAAACTTTCCGTACTCTTACTTTTTCTAAGGATTAGCACACATATTTGTGCAGAATATTTCTGGATTGTGTTTTTCTGATATATTATGCTAATTGAAAATCTAGCTACACAAAACTTGAAAGCTGATCATGTTACACAGCACCATAATAATGTTCTCTGATATTAAAAATAATACCTTTTATGTGATTTGGCAGGATTTTATAGCTGCAACACAGAAATTATGCCTGGTATAAATAACTGGACTTCTGATATACAGGTAAAGAAAAAAGCAAAAATAAAAATCAAATGCCTTTTCTTTCATACTGAAATGTATAATCTCAGACCTAAATAATGATTTGTGTCTAACACAGTGTTTAGCATTCATAAGAATAATTATCCATGTAAAATAATTATAGGAGCAAGATCCCCCATACCATCAGTTTTTTATCAAAAATTATGGCCCAGTGGTGGCACGATGGATTGTATCTAAAGGTGCCCTTCCTCTCAGAGAAGGGCCATTTTTACACCTTCCACTAGAGTCCCCTTCCTCATCCTGCTGCCCTCCAGATGTTTTGGATTACAACTCTTATCAGCCATCACCAACAACTGGAAGGCAACAGGTTGGGGATGGCTAAAGAGATTGTTTGGCTTCTGCAAACTGTGCTCAAGATGAGGCATGAGAACTGCTATGAAACCAACCTTAACAAATGAATGAATGGACCTGAATATCTCTCTTCAACAAAGGTTTACAGGGCACTTTACAAAGATGCTAATAATAATAATAATAATAATAATAATAATAATAATAATAATAATACAGCATAAGATCAAAAGGGAAAAGCCACACAAAGCAGGAAATACTGTTTTTAACATTTGAGGAGGAAACGTATTTGGTACCCCAAATAAAATAGTTTGCATGCCCTGCAAGCCTTCCAGGCACCACATCTAAATGTGCCTTCTTCTCCTTGGTTGCCAGCCACTTCACCTCAGTTGGAGGCGATATTACTTTAGTACACAGGCAAGTTGCTATGGGAGTAATTACTGTTCCATTTACCTGGGTCCCAAACAGTATAGGGCATTATAGCTAAGTGCTAGCAATTTGAATTGGACTCTGAAATGCACCAGGAGCCAATATTCAATATTGCTGAGGTTTTGTTCCTGATGACCAGTCTCAGTTAGTGCCCTGCCAACTGCGTTCTGTGCAGTTTTTAGTTTCTGAGCTGTGTTCAAGTGCAACATGTCCCCACCCTCATCTGCCAGGTTACGGTAGTCTAATTGGAGCATTACCAGAGCATGGATGAGGTCCCAGTTACTACACCAGCCTAAGCTGGTGAAACACATTATGTGCCACTGATATAACTTGGGTCTGTTGTGACAGACCTAGGAGTGTCCTCAAGCTGTGAACCTGGTGTGGGTATGAGTGTAATCCCATCGAGAACAGTTTTAACCGCATCAAGCAAATGAACTATTACTCCACAGAAGTGCTCATCAAGGTTGAGTTTTGTTTTAGCACCATGTGAAGTTTTTGTGGAAAAATGCTAGTGGGTTTCTCCACTACCCCCCTGCACCTTCAGCTCACAGATATTTGAAACCAAACCTAAAAGTTAAACTCTAAACTATGTTCCTAATCTTTCCCTTCTCTGGTACAAACTTATGCCCCCTCCGTTATATAAATATATAGCACATATAGAATTTACTTGCACATACCAACACAGGTTCATAGCTGTTAGCTGTACTGTAAAATGGAGCAGACAAGTTCTATCTGTGTTAACTCATCCTGGATTTAAAACAGCAACAACAACAAACTTCATCACCTCTCTCAACCTTAATTACTTATATGGTCTGTAATAAAATTATATTTAAACGGCAACTCGTTTAATTTGTTGTTTCTGCTTCAGATGTTCACGTCAGTGAGAGTCTCCAGACTTAATAATGTTACCCTAACAAACCAAACACTCAACAAGACCTTTAATGATCTCTGTGAGAATCTGCTCAAGGTAAATGAATGGCTGCTGGAACTATGTATGTGTTTGAACTATTAAGTTTTTTTGCCGATGATACCTAGAATTACTTTTCTGGCATGTCTCAGTGCCTACTTTTCTGCTTGTAGCAAACTCTGGAGTGGATTGTTTAAACTAATACTGAATGGGACAATGCTGGCGAGTGGGTGGGCAAAGCCTCGTAGCAAAGGGTTGTACTAGACGGCTACTTGGTCCATTCCAACTTTAGGAAATCATATACAAATGTTAAATGGGACATAAGATAATGCAAGTCTACATCTATTTTCTTGTTTAGACACCAGAGTAAGTATCAGTGTATGTGATTCATCAGCTATCTCTGGGAGCCATGGACATGGTGAAGGGATTTATGGCTGTGTCCCTTCTTCTACTTTAAAACATGAAGGGTGCTTTTCACCAAAATTACATTCCTGAAAACCACTGACAATATACAAATCCAGTAGTAGCACAAAACCTGTGGCAGAGATGGAAGATTCATTGCACGGGCATTTCTGGAGTTTGACCAAAAGCCACACATTCAGCCACACATGGAGTGACAAAGGTTGGCAACTATACAGTAATTAGGAAAGGCATCAGATGATTCTTAAATGCCATTTTAATGCCACTGTAAGAAACAGTCCCCCCCCTTACATATTTGCAATATATATCTCCAAATGTCTAAATCTTTCCAACATATCTTTGCAAACCACTGCGGGCAAGGGTCCAATTATGCCAAAAACAGCATAGTCAAAATGATTCACGCACACATTAAAGGTAGATGGCAGCATCTGCTCACACTGATGTAGCTGAAGCAGGGAATTAGAATTGGGCTACAAAGAAATGAAACCCAGACTTCCACCAATTCAGAGCATACTAGATACATAATATATACTAATTTCTTGTGTTCAACAGAGCCTGTATTTTAAACTTCGATCTATGATTCCTTGCTGCCTGTGCCATGTAAATTTTACAGTTGCTCTTCCAGAGGATGAATTAATTCAGGTAAGCCAGTCCATTCACCTTTTTGTATTTGAAGCTCTTCACATTAATCTGTGACAGGAGGAGACTTTGAAAAAGTAAAGCTGGTCAAGTCAGACACAGGTTATGCTGAAAGCTCCTTCCCAACCATTTAGTTTTACAATTTTGAGTTTAAAAGCTTGGCCTGCTTAGCAAACAAAGTTTATGAAGATACTTTGGCGAATTACAGTTGTAATGCTCCTTTTCACTGCTCAGTTGCTGTAGAACACACATTCTCAAGAATGTGGCAGTTTTTGGCAAGGCCCTGGACATAGTATATAACTTTGATGATTTAAATGTGTCTCCACAGAAATGTTCATGTGGTTCCATGTAATTGCAGTGCTCCTTGCCATTTCCTTTTAAAATATGTGTGGCCATGCTGTGAGCCTATTCTAGCAATTGCTGTATTTAAATGAGACGTTTGACTGCATTCTAACCTTTTCAGTTATTTAAATGCCCCAGAGTATGGTGAAATCATGTTTAATTAAATTTCTTTCTTTCAAAGTTGTTGTGAGGAATGCTGACAGAAACAAAACCTTACTATGATTACATTGTTGCATACAAACTGTTTTGCTATTTTAAAAGGTTTTTCAGATGGTTGTAATGCTTGTAATTTTTTTTTAAAAAATGTGCTGTTTTGTGGTTTGCTGCCCTGGGCCAACTTGCGAGGAAGGCAGAGTAGAAGTTTTATAAAATCTCAAATCAGCCATACAAAGTACCATTGCCTTGAATAGTTATTTGCCTACCATTTTTCCTTTACACAGTCCCAGGCATCTTTATTTCTAATTACAAGTTATCAAAATAGGCTCACTCAATGGAGTAATTTGTACTGAAAGATCATTGAGTTGGATTCAGACTATTACAGTCATACCTGCCATCAGTTTCTGTTGATTTTGGGGGTGGAAGACATGGGGCTACTGCAGTGATCAGACCCGATGCTGTCCCATGGTGCTAGTTTTGGATCTAGCAGATTCCAGGCTGCCACAGCCGCTACCCCATTTGGGGGCTTTCTGCAGGCTGCTGGCAATCCGGCCTGTGGCACTTCTGCCCACTTCCATGTTTCTCAGGCAGAACAGAGAGTTCCCTGCCAGTGCAGTGACACTGGCATCACTCCATCGGTGGAAGCTAGCAGGGCTTGGTAGAGGAAACCTCTGTCCAGTGCACACAAACCCTAAAAAGAAGGCAAGATCAAGTGCAACCTTAGGTTGGATCCAATCCATAGTGATTAGGTTATGATGTTCCTTAAAAGTGTTTGCTTTCAAACATGTCTTGCACCCACTGCACCTGAAATGAGAGTCCAGGATTGGCAAATCATAGGTCAAATACCACCTAACTGGACAGCCTGCCTGCTGCCGAATATTTCTCTCCCCAGCCCCACCAGCTGTGGGATGCTCATAGGAGTCCCCTGGCATCAGGGGTTCACCCTGATGTGGGCTGTTTTCAGGAAGGCCTCATCCAAGAACCTGGATAGGTGATGGGCAGCCCTGCCTCTAAGCTGGGGCCAAGGCCTAATTGGTGCCCCCAATATTCCTTAGCCACCGCCCCCCCCCCGCATGACTGCTGTTCCTTCCAAGTGCCCTTCACCCACCAACAGATGTTCTGGCAATAAAAACGCCGAAAAACATCCTGACTGATGAGGAAGGCAAAAAATCCCCCTCAAACAGCTAAACATGTGGAGGGTGACAGCTGATGCCCATAGCAAGAGTATGGGACAGAGGGAGGGTGAGCAGGGAAGTCACCTCCAACACGAATGTGTCTCTGTATGGCATGTCCAGTATTTAAATACTTGGTGTGGTTCACAGACACAAAGATCTGGTTCATGGCAAGTCCCCGGCCCCCAGGCGGTCAAATGAGCTTGGACTGGCACCCATTGAGGGCCAGTGGAGGTGCACTTCCCAACACCTCTTCAAGCCCAGTTGGCTCCTTCACCCTTGAGCATGCGATCTGCTGAAATCAGCAAGTGAAGATTTCCATTAACCACCAGTTAAGAAAAATGCCATGGTTAAGTTAAAAAGCAAAGTGTGAAGGTTTGCACGATGTGAGTCTGTATATCTCCCCAAAGTGTAAGGTAAAGGGACCCCTGACCATTAGGTCCAGTTGTGACCGACTCTGGGGTTGCAGTGCTCATCTCGCTCTATAGGCGAGGGAGCCGGCATTTGTCCGCAGACAGCTTCCGGGTCATGTGGCCAGCATGACTAAGTCGCTTCTGGCGAACCAGAGCAGCACACGGAAACGCCGTTTACCTTCCCGCCAGAGCGGTACCTATTTATCTACTTGCACTTTGACGTACTTTCGAACTGCTAAATTGGCAGGAGCAGGGACTGAGCAACGGGAGCTCACCCCATCGCGGGGATTCAAACTGCCGACCTTCTGATTGGCGAGTCCTAGGCTCTGTGGTTTAACCCACAGCGCCACCCGCGTCCCTTGCCCAAAGTGTAGATGGGGTTAATTTTAAACTTTGAAATAAAGTCTAAGGAATAAAAACCTGACAACGTTATATTTACAATTGCAGGTCACTGTTACAGCAGTTGCAATAACATTTGACAAACACCAAGCTTTGCAAGCAGCTAAAACTCCTGCAGAAAAAACATTACAAAGAGGTAAACACATTGAGGAATTTAAAACTGTCAGCTCTTGCCTGTTATGTATGCTATAATTGTTCATTGTCACAGCCATCTCAGGATGTCCATTCATTTAATTGGGCCTAAGTGGGTGTCATTAGGTGCAGCACTGCAGCCTAGACACCCTTTCCTAATGTTGCTGCAACATATTTCATCTTTACAATCATTACAGTTAAGCAGCTTTTATCATTCTCAGGTTTGCTTTTAACCACTTCTTGCAGGCTGTGGCATGTTTCATAAGCAAGTGAAACAAGCATACATTTATGCTGCACACACACACACACACACACATACACACACACACACTGGGATGGTGATGATGCATGCAGATGCTGGGTGTGGATTGAAACTCTAATGTATTTAATTCCATGCCTTGATTAAGATTGATTAATTTAATTGTAGTGTGTGCAGTGGCTTACAGGGTGTGAGTCTGAGAGTAAACTGCATTAAAGTGCCCTGCGTTCATGCCTCTGGGGAATAGAATTAACATCAACTGAAGCAATACCTGTGGCTAACCTTAAGGCGTGATTTCTCAATTTAATTGGTGGTTTTACCAGAGGGGCACAGGTCTTCAGGGCATATTTAGAAAGAAGCTGCTGGTACTACTTAATCAGTTAAATGAACTGTAGTTATTAGTGAACATCTCTTTGCTTTCCACTACAGTGGATTGCTAACAAAGTTGTCCTGTTAGCACAATGACTTCTGACTGTGCAGCAGGTCATCTTTTCTTCCCAGAGTAAATCCAGAATAGATTGGGGGAGCAGAAGAGAGGAAGAGGAAGTCCCATTGTGCAGACAATTTCATTGGATACAACCAAGGCTGTGGGTTTTTTTGTTTTGTTTGTGTAGGTTGGTATATGTGAATTTTGTAAAGAAGAAATAAAATAACGTTTTTGTGCCTTTCTTCTTCTGTTTTTGTTGCCAGCTTCTACAGACAATGAAGAACAACTACAGTTTCCCATGGAGCTTTCTTCTGATCCTCATGCTCCCCAGCAATTCTCGCCAGCAAAAGGTTGGTTAAAGAAAAAGGCCTTATGCTTATCTTCTTGTGTTCCATCCACTTGCTCCTTTTTTGTTTGTCAACCGTAGAAGTAGTCCTGCTACGCAATGCAAGTTTTTTGTTTGCCAAAAAGACTTCATCCTCCGGATATGTGAGGAGAGTGAAACAAAATGTTCTTAATATGTCCGCTGTGCAGTCTCTTTTTAAGAACAGGGTGGCTGCTGCTGAAGAGGGAGCAAATGAACAGGAACAACTTGCGCTTCTTTTACGGCTCTTCTGATGCTGCTTTGAGCTGCTGCCAAACAGCCATTCTAGTCTAGAGACAGCTGCATTTCGGAAAAGTATGAGGTGGTTCATCTAACTACAAAATGTGCTCTGAAGCGAGGGGTTTTGCTGAGTCTGAATCCAGTCTTTTTGGAATTTTAAGAATTGTAAATATTATAGATTATTTCTCTTGGAGAGGCAGACAATGCGCCGTGCCAGGTATTTTCCAAAGGAAAGGAAATGTTCCACCACCCTCATTCTAAATCAGGCTTCCTCAAACTCATCCCTCCAGATGTTTTTGGCCTACAACTCCCCTGATCCCTAGCTAGCAGGACCAGTGGTCAGGGATGATGGGAATTGTAGTCTCAAAACATCTGGAGGGCCGAGGTTGAAGAAGCCTGTCCTAAATCTTTATCCTAATACAGAGGTTGTAGACTTCACAGCAGGGAGCCACAAAATGATTAATCCAAACTAGGGAGTATGTGATTTGGCATAAGTAAGTGCAGAGTAATGCTCGCTGGAATAAATATTCTAAATTTTGCATTAGACTGATGAGGTCTAAACAGGTAACTACCTAGAAAAAAAGAGATATTAGCATTACATTGGAAAGCTAATTTGAAATGCCGTCTCTTGTGAAAGTGTTTTGCTACTCAAGTCAACATAGCACATCTTTAAGGAGGTCAAAAGTATAACGCTATACATGTCTGCTGTGAAGCAAGTCCCAGTAATTTCAGTGGGCTTACTTCAAGGTAAGTGGGCATAGAATTGCAGCCCGAATCAACAAAGAGTCTTGTGATACATTAAAAGATGAACAGTTTTATCATGGTGTAGGTGTTTGTGGCAAGAGCCCACTTGGTTGGAGATATGAGGTTCCATCCTGTTGAAAGGTTCAACAAATGAACTTCAAAGGGAGGCTCCAGCAGGAAAGTGCTGAATGAGAACTTAATCAGTTAATTTTATGTGAAGAAAATGTATTTTTGCTTATTAATTATTGTGGATAATAACATTTAGTCTGTTACAGATTTTAAATACTGTATTTGTTATGAATTTTAGTTGTATGGATTTTATTGTTGTAGCTTGCTTTGATAACTTTTTTTTGGTATAAAGCAACAAAATAATTTTCTCCATCTGGACTTGACTAGATCTGTTCTACCACAGTTAATTAATGCAGGGTATATAGGATATGTGACCACCAATTTCTGCTCTTGTGAATGGTCGCTATGCTTTATGAAACAAGACTCATTTTGTTTTTACTACAACATCAGGAGTGTAATTAGGGAGTGTTCCAGAGACCCGAATCCCACAAGATGCCCGGAGTCTTCCAAAGTGCAATGCCCAGGAGACCACAGCCAACCACCCCCTAATTTTCCCAGAGGCTCTTGTTTTAATTTTAATATGTATATAAGCAGCCCATAGCTCAGAATAAGCCCTGACAGGTAAACTTTGCTTCCTGCCCCTTGGAATGTGAGCCTATATTTGCATGTACATACATTGCAAATTTGTGTCATAAGCCTGTGCCCCAAGTCTTTGAAGTACCTAACAATGCTCCTGTGCAACTGATTAACATGGCTATCCTCTGGAAACTCTTATCCCTAAAGTCAGTTTTAACAGATTATGCTAGGTCATTGCCAAGTGAGGTAATTACACAGTTAGTGTCTCGAGGAAGCTTCTGGAGCAACGCACTATTCACCACACAAATACTTCGACAAATCTATCCTGTTGCTGCGTTTCTGTTTACCAAACCACCCTCCTCTTCTTTCTACAAATCAGAATCTTCTGGAATTCCATGTCTTTCATTGTGTAAACTTAGCCTTCTTGCAGGGTTTCACTGTTGTTAACTTATTTGGCTTATTCTTTTCCAAAGATTAGTAGGAGACCCTATTTGTAAAATAACTGCTGGCCAGTAGAGGGTAGTCTACTCCCTTGTCAGCAAACAGTGTGTTTAACATTAACCATGGATGGTCTGTGAAACGCAGCAAGCATTTATGTGAGATCATCAAGGTTCGTATCAACGCCTCCCATTCTCTAAAGAGAATTCTTTCTTTTGGAAAGATCTGTAGTTGATATATGATTCATAATTTACTTGAACTCCTGTGAGAACTTAATTATTAAGTTCATTTGCACTTCAGGCAAAATAATAGATCAACAAAGCAAACATTTATTACGTTCTCACTAAACCCCCACAGTGTGCAGTGTTAATGTAATGGTGCTAAAGGGGTATATTCAGCTTACAAATAAAATTCCTGCCTGATCAGGTTCTGTTTTTTAAATTTCTATAACGCAAACACAGCTTGGACAATTGCCTGCCTGCCTTCCATAAGGTCTTGGAATATTGTTTTGTGTTACCATAATACCTAGGTCCTGTTTTTCCCCTGCGTTTTGACTAACAGCCTGCTGCCCTCCCTGCTTTCTCCCAGCAGCTTTGAGACAAACTTGCATCATTACAAAAGGATCAGGGAGCTTCTGCATACAAATAAGCATGTTGTCGCCTAGTTAAAGCATTATGTTCTGCATGTAGTAAAGTATGCAGGGAAGAAGGCTAGTGTGCATAAGCCCTGTTACACATTTCTGCTATATTCTTGGGGAAAAGTAGCATGTGAACAGGCCCTGTATCTCTAAAACAGAGAGACCTTAACCTGAGTAATGCTGTTGAAGTTGCACTATGTACATTGTGGGTTCATGAAGGCTTCAGCCTGAATTTGTTACCACTTTTCGGAAAGCAGGAATCATTGCACTCCCAATTAATCTGGCAAGTGAGATTGATTCACAACTGCAGGCATGTAGTCTTTATATGTACACATACACACAGGCAACACATATGCACCTTCATAAAAGTGCAGACATTCCTTTATTCATACTGTTGCATTCTTATTGTTGCACACAAAAAACCCCACCCCAGGAAGCAAAAACTGGGACAACAGAAAATTCTTTTTTCACCTTGACTTTTCACACAGATACACACATGACTTTTCTCTTGAGTTGCATGCACACAGCAAGTATTGCTGTGGTGTGTTGACACTAGCTAAGTAGGCATGTACGGTATGTCTAGGAAATCTATAGTCCAATAACACCTGATGTGTGTTTAGTATGGCCCCTCCCCATCACATTTTTGTCCTAGGGTATTTCCTAGCTTCCTCCAAAGTCCCACACCTAGCACTGTTTCATACACAATTTTAAATGTATCCTTAAAAATGCAAAGTGTTTATATGACAAATTTGTGTTTACAAGCACATACATCGTACGTGCACAATCAGACAGCAAGGACTGGTTATAGCTCCCTTAGTGTCAGTCTTTGCTTTGCTGCTGTCATGTGGATAAAATGAGCCCTAGTTGACATAACCCATGTTGATGGTGCTGGTCTAGTGTATAGCTGCACTAATAAAGAGTTGCCAAGGGCACACATGCAAAATAGGGGAAATTTATTCTCCTGGCTTAAGATTCTCCAGCCTGGGCTGAAACATAACCTTTTTACGGTTGACAGAAGTGCAGATTAAGTTAGTGAAATAGTGCAGTTAAACCATGTTCTTCCATAAAGAACTGACATGATTTACATTGATTTGTAGAAATTACTTCAACCGTGGTGAGGTAACCAGTGGCCCACGGGTCAGATTCAATCCACCAGCCTGCCAACTTGTCTATGGCTGTCTAAAAGTGACAGTCAGAGCACTGCCTCTGGCAACAGCTGCTTTCAGCATAGGCAGAGGAGAAGGTGGGCAGCTCTTTGAAAGCATCAGAGGAGATTGGGAAACCATTTGTATCTGCTGCTCTTGATATCCTGCCTACCTCCCTCTTCAGAAACTGCTCAAAGCAGGGGTTTCTAATGTCTTTTGTCTCCTTTACTGTTGGGAAAAGCGAGGGATGAGGGAGGCTGGCTTTATTGGGATCCACTGCCTCAAGGCAGCTGATGCTCCATAAATGAACATAGGGAGAGGTTGCCACAAGGTGCCTAGCTGCACCAACTGGTGGTTTGAGCCCTCCAGGTGGTTGGCCATGGGGGGATGTGGCTCTCAGGCAAAAATTGGTTCACTGACACTTGATTTTAACTGTAGTAACAGATTGTGTTGCATTGATCTTATAGTAATCAAACCAGATTTTCTTTAGCAGAGCAGCATTTGAACACCTAGAAAAGCTTGTTAGATAGCCAGTACCCAATGACAAGAATAAACATAAAATATAAAGAGATATTTTAAAATGCTGCTTACATAATGACTAGGGAGCATTTTTTTTATTCAGAGTGAATATAAAAGTTTCTCAGTAGAGAACTGTATACAATCATATGAAATGAATCGGATGAAATATTCATGTAGCTTAATGTCTGTAACCTATATGAAGCCCTCGTTCTGGGGGTTGTTGCCTCCGTTTGCTTTAAGGTGCTCTTTGCAAAATCAGCACCTTGGAGAGCAGAATAAGGCTGGTAGTCTGGGCCTGGAGACATCCTTTCATTTGGGTGTGCATGTATGTGCTGAAAATAGTTTATTACAGCCATGGTTGCCTGTGCTATGTGTATGATTCCCCCACAGTCAGCCATGGCAAACCAGAGCAGTTCACAAACCTGCAAAACTTGCTTGATCAGAGACAACCATGGCACTAAAGAACTAACAAACAGCAACACACAAAAACAAAACTTGCCATCTGTCTTCAGTCTGATTTTGCTTAGTGGAAGTCTTTATACAGTGTTTAGAAATCTGATGAGAGAAACTTGTGGCTTTTTCATGCTAGAACAGATGTCAGCATATGATATGTCAGTGAGTAAGTTCCAGAAGTTTTGTGAGGTTCAGACTTGGCGCTCATTGTTCTTTTATTACAAACATGTACTTCTGTGGCAATTTTCCAGTTTCTTCTTTGCATGCTTACCTGAGGACCATTAACAAAATTTCAGTTCTTTCTTGAGCCTGGTGTACCTTGGTCATTCTTGTTTCATGCTTCTAGGGTGCTGTAGTCTATACTATTATGGGTTAGTTTGTGTGGGATGAATATGTGGCCGATCATGGGTTAAGCCAGGGAGTTCAAATGTTTTTTTGGATTCAAAAATCCTTTTGGATTCCTATCAATCTTGTTGCCCTGTGAACTGATAGACCAACTTACAGATGTCAGCACTCTGGTGAAAAGTTCTGAAAATAAGAGAGCTCATCTGAAAATAATTATGATGAGCTCTCTTAAATATTATGAAGGTAAACACAAGCTTCCGGGATTAGAATTTATTTCATTTGAACAAGTCATAACTAATTTTGGGTCTGTTGGACTCAGAAAAAGAAAGAATGTGGTATAGAAATGATTACAATGCAAAAGATAATTGGATACATGCCAGTCAGGGCACATGCCTCCATTGCTAGAAACAGTTGAGATAGGCTTTTTTTAAAATGTTCTATTGTTAGCCTGCAGTTCTTACAGAAGAGCTTGAGTAATAAATTACTTGGCTAAAAATGAGTACACCCCATGCTAGGCTTCTAAAAACAAGACTCAATCAAAGGGACCTGACTGAGGACAAAACAGAACAATAAAGATCATGTTTGAAAGAGAAGAGGAAATGCATAGGAAAGAAACAGTTCAGCAGATTTGAACCATGTGATGAAACTGCAGGGTATGAAACAATGACGGTGGTGATGAGGGCTTAGAATTGAGCACCCTGCTTGGAGTGGCACTTTTAGTGGAAAGTGGAGAGTTATAGCAGAGTCAGGATTCAGTAATAGGAAGATTCATACGGGAAGAAGAGAAGCCTAGAAGCTATGAAGGGGGAGCATTAGGTAGCAGTGCAGGACATAAAAGTCCCTTACCCCACGAAGAAAGGCAGATACAGTATAGATATAGAGAAATAGATTGTTTCTTAGGAATCCCAGCTTCTGCTCACAAAAGTCCAGGGATTATCAGCAGCCTTGCATTTGTGATTATATATTAAAGCTTCCGTTCTGTAATTATAGCATGCACTTATGGTAGAGTTCACAGAGGTAATTTGGCTCCCAACATTTGGGATACTTAGAAAGAGAAGAGTTCTGCATGCTCAGCTTCCGCTTTAAGTTCTGAGAGGTAAAAAGCATTCCTTGTGATCTTTCGCTGACAAAAATTTTGTGAGAGAAACTCACAAATTTTAATATTTATCATGTACAATTTTTAAAAGGTTACACACCTTATAAATTTAATCTGTGTCAAAAACTTGTACTAGCTGTTAAAATTTCCCCACCAATTAGTGGGGTCAATTTTACATACTGTAGTTGCAACCAAGATTTTCCCTTTTCTTCTTTCTTTCTTTCTTTCTTTCTTTCTTTCTTTCTTTCTTTCTTCTGTTGGGCTCAGTCTTGGGTTCTGCACGGGAGCAAAATGGCTAAGTCAGATATTTAGACTTCGTTCTTTCCAAGATTTTTAGAACTTAGCCTCTGCTTTTATAACTTACATGCATAAGTGCATCATTCTATCGTTTATTCTGTTTCTATTCTGTGATTATCAATCTTTGCTCCCTTTGCTTTTTCAGTTTAGCTGCCTATTCCATCAATGTTAATCCTCCATGTTAGGTTAAGCATTAACCCTTATTCTTGCATCGCCATTCTATACATTTAGGTTCTATGGAGCGTAGGCAGTAAATGTAGTAACTTCGCAGATGACATGCTTCTTTTTTTAGTAGTTGTAGTTCAGATTTGCAATCCCTTGCTATTTTTAAACAGAGAGCCTTCTAAGTATGGAAGGCCATAGAACTAGAAGAGAATCTTTTTAAGGTGATATCCAAAGACGCTTTGCCAAGAAAAGTCAGTCCCTCTTGAATGTAGTACAAAGTTTACTGTATTCTGTTGTGAACAATAGGTTGTGCAAAGTTAATGTTGTGTGAAATAAAACCAGAAAACACAACACAGGGATTTCTCTAGCAGATTACTCACTTTAAAATTGACATGAAATAAAAATCTGTATTAATATAGTTAATGTTTCTTATGTCATATCAGTGGAATTCATTTTGTCTTATTAGAGGACCTGGAGAATGCAAGTTCCCACACAGCTGTCCAAAGAGGTGAGTTTCCTTGATTTAGCTATAAGCCAGAACAGGGGATGCATTCCTGGCTCTGTTGGGGGTACACTTGGGATGTGGCTTCAAGCATTCAGGAAGTATGTACCAGTTGCCTTGGAAAGCAAGCTCTGATGTGGCTTATTGATATCTGAATATGCTCATCAAAGTATTTTTATATACATTAGGGATAGCTAGAATTAGAAGTGACGGGTAGTCTTATATTGTCGCTTTGTCTTCCAGAACAATTTTCATAATAACTGGTTGTTCAGTTCTTCATCTTCCTTTAATGTTATATTGAATTCCTCAGTTGCTGTTTTTTTACGGAGGACTGGAAGGGGATGGAACTAAAGATCAGTTAATACATAAACAATGCATGCTGCTGTGGAATTCTTGATACCAGTCTTGGTGCCTCCCTAGGAATACTCAGTAATCTTGGGGGGGGGGGAGACACCAAACCTTCAATTTTCACTGCAAGGGTAACGATCTTGAAAAGGAAGAGGTGTTTCAACAGCACAAACAGGGGCTTACGTGCAGTATATTTTATCTTTATTTCCTGCTTATCAGGAGGAGTTCTGTGATTTTTAAATTAAAGCTGAAAACAATTGCTGAACTTTTGGTCTAGTGAGCTGGTCCAGGAAGCTCATAAGCTTGGGTTTAAGAGTTTGAGTGGCCATGCAAGGCACCCCAGGTGTTGGATTCAAAACATCAAAGTTGTTGCCAAAAGGGTGCAAATACTTTTCATTTATTTGTTTAAAAGATTTGTCTGGTATGGATACTGTCGAGGGTGAGGTGTGATATCCTAAGGACATTATATGGGAGTTCCCTCATTCATGCAGCCCTGTGCCAGTTATTTTGTTTATTATAGTGAAAATATCCTTTATATTTAAAAATATGTGCTCAGAGCTGAATGGCTCTGTCCCATTTGACTACTGTTTGCACCTGAATTCACAACATCAGGTTACCTGGGTATTTCACACCACTTACACCTGTCCAGTACAGATCATTTCATGATCTGTTTAACTAAACATATCACAACACTGATCACTTCACACTGGTTCAGACAGTCAGCAGACCCCATTCAAACTGCAGCCAGCAAGCACTCACCCAGCAGGGATCACATTGAAGAGAGAGCTGTACGAAACAGCATGTGGGGACCATGTACACTGGTGCCATGATTTGTACAGTCACAGTGATCCTCCAGATCAATTCGTTCTTGCAAATTGCGGCAACTGTGTGAATCTGTTCATGTGATCTCTGCTTCCTTGCAGTCCCTGCTGGTGGCCCTGCAGACTCCCATAGGCAGTTTGTGTGGGACCTGTCTAGTCTCTGCTCTGGACCAGTGCCTGAAATTGGTGTATCTGGGAAGTGGAAGGTACTTGTGCAGTATCTTCCTGCTGATCGTCATACAGCAGAAGGCTCAATTTGTGCTGCCTTGTAAAAGCCTCCATAGTGATCCCAAGCACTGTAACTTTCAGAAATGTTGGACATAATTTGCAGAATCATCAGAGTTGCCAAAAGGGCGTCTCTTGAAGCACTGTCAAGCACTCTGAAAGCACTGTTACAGAAAACTGCAAGGCAGTCTTACGGCAGCAGGTACTCTTTTGAATTCACTGCTGCAGAAATGGATAAAACAAGTTACGTATGCATTTTCGTAGGGATGATGTTTCTAGATGTTCATACTACGTAGGTGAATCATGTCCTACCGGTAATGTCCAAGCAGAGGCAAGCACTGTGTTTTCTTGGAAAACCACTTATTCTTGGATGCAGATAATTGATTCATCAGAAGGAGCACTGCAATGGGCAAAGGGGCATCACCCATATTTTTTTCCTTTGTTTTTCCTTTTGTTTTTCTGTCTGTGTTTCCAGCAACATCAGTTGATTACAGTTCCTTTGCAGACAGATGCAACAGCTGGATAGAATTCATTAAACTGAAAGCTCAGACCATAAGGCGTGGATCAATTAAGACAAGTAGGCGGTCATTTCTACCACATTCTGATCATTGGAAGCGTAGTTCTGATCTTTCAGTGGCAAACGGTGGAGCTTCCTACCCAGTAGTGGCATTGCAAAATCAGTGTCCGAGTGTGAAAGCTGCAGACACACAGCGTCTGTTTTTGAAAACATTAATGCCAGGTTGATTTTGGAGCACATTGTTCTGTGCTCCAAAAGTAAACTGCCAGTAAATATATAGGTGATAAATAGGCTTGTGAATTGTACAACTAAAAGGTATACATACAGTGTGGCAGAAAGTGTATGTATACATCAGTGAAATTCTTCAGACTATGCAAGGATCACCTGCATGATATTTGTGGCAGCAATCACTGAATTACAAAGTGGTGAGTTTTTAATTTTTGTTTAAGTAGTTCAATGGCTGCAGGTATGACTTTTGCTTTAGTTACCCAAGATGAAGATTTACCTGGAAGCTGACAGCAATGAAGATTTTGTCCAAAATTTGAAAAATGCTGGACTGGAGAAACGTGTCAACTTTCACACTCTTTCCTGTAGACTTTTTGTCGTTCCCTCTAGCAGAAATTTTTACCAAATCGTGATACCTTTCCCAACCACTCCCTCCTCCCTCCGCACTACCTGTGTCTTCACTTTATAACTGATCATTTGTATGTGCAGCTGCTGGCCTCAGTGTTTTCTTTTGCAGGAATGCTACTCTTCTTCCAAAATTAAATCCCATTCAAGCTTTTTGTCTCTCGTTTGCATGTGCTGCATGGTTATTTCTTTTCTATGGCTGAGCATCACGGGCAGCTGAATGTTGTCACCAAGCTATGTGGAAACCATGAAGAAGGCTTAAATCTGTTGGAGCTACCGATGCAACTGTCCATATATTGAGTAGTTATTCTCTGTCTGTCTTCCTTCTTTCCTTCCTCCCTTCTGCCACTTGTAGCCATTTCATTCGACAAGCCAAGTCCATTGACAGAAGGACAATCCCGTCGTTCTGGCTCTTCCGGCATGAGTTCCACTGTGCCAGTTGTTAAGATGACACCTCTTTCTTTCATTGCTGGGGCAAAAATAACCAAATACCTTGGAATAATCAACATGTTTTTTATACGAGAAACCACTTCTTTGCGTGAGGTAAGCTGCGCTGGAGTTCGCCTTTCTCTCATGGCTAACATGGCTGTTCTTGGGTTTTAGTTATGCTGGGTGCAAGAGATGCAGCAATTCAGAATTAACAGAAAATTAGAGGGCATAAGTCTTGCTTGAGCAGATTCCAGATCATCATATCTCCGTATACCTTCACTATAAGTAAAATCCAATGCACAGTTGAATTTTGTGCTCTTTTTAGCAGATTAACCCAGCCCTTGATTGTGTGTTTGCAGAAAAGATCCCCAGTGTAGCTCTGCTAGATAATTTGAAAAATATGCAGATATGCTATTATAAGGCAACAATAACAGCAAACGTTTTGGGAGCCTAAGCAAATTGTCACACAGTCCCATCTGTTCCTTGTATGGTTTTGAATGCTGTTTGTGGTTTTTCATTGCTTTTTTGCTGATAAATCAGACTGTTTACTTGGAGGTTTGAAGTAGTAGTTCTCAAAGTATGTGTTAACTCTGAATGATGCTTTAGAAGGCTGAGAAAAACTACACAACTCTTTTGGAACAACTGTTGATTAGTTTTCACTTGTTTAGAATAAATTTGGAACTAAAGAACAGTAAGTGCTGGGGATGGTTTTACTAGTGCCTTTCCACTAAAATGTGTGTTGGTATGTTTTTATAGGAGGGCGGTGTAAGCGGTTTTCTTCATGCATTCATTGCTGAGGTCTTTGCAATGGTAAGGGCTCACGTGGCAGCTCTCGGGGGAAATGCCGTTGTCTCTTACATCATGAAGCAGTGCGTGTTCATGGAGAATCCAAACAAAAATCAGGTAAATGGTGCTTGAAGAGAACACTGTATGTCTGCACATAAACAGTCAGGGACTAGAGAAGCCTGACAGCATTCGCAATGTACTGGCATCCAGGCAAGGTTCTCCTAACTAATCAGTTAAGAACTCCTGCTAAGAAAACAACCTACCTGTTAATCACACCATGTCAAGTGATTGACGGGTGGGTTATCCCACTCACCTGTCAAAAGTTGGCACTCGGGAGTGGGGGCAGATAACAGTCTGGCTCACAAGTCCAAAAGGGTCCCCCGCCCCTTCTCTAAAGGGTTTGTGACGGCCCCTAGGCCTTAAAATAAAGCCATTAGACTTTTCATTTGTTTGTAGCTACTGGAATTCTTGGCTAATAAACATGGCTGCATGATTTGGCTCCTTTTGTGTGTGAAGTCACAGGGAATAGAGGACTGCATTTTTCAAGAAACTTCACAGTTTTGGTAAAATATATATATAACATTCCCACTTTTTAAGGTCAGGAGTCTTAAATCCCGATAAAAAAGGAACAACTGCATTTATTGCACTGGGCTCCAAAGGCCTTTTGAACAATGTGTACCATTCCAAAAAGGACGTTGGCGAATTGTCAATTTGTAGCTTTCTGCTGTGTCAGCTTTCAGAGAATTTGAAAGGGAAACACATGAAAAGTGAGGCTGAAAAGGCTGAGCATCCTTAGCTTGGAGAAAAACAAATGTTTATTTGTTGGGGCTGTTAGGGAGGTCCCTATATTCACAAAATGAGCTGGTGTAGGTGGAGAGGAAATAATTATTTACTCAGGCCATTTCACACAGAAACCATCTGTGTGATCAGAAGCCTCTGAATCTCTAGTACTACTAGTTTTGGCCTCTGCTGTAACCATCTGCAGAAAGCTCCTTCTCTGTGAGCGTTGCTGCAGCTGCTCATCTGTAAACTTTTTGTCAGCACTTGGCTGCTTCTGGCAGCAGAGAGGTACAAAGACCTTGTCCGGTAGCAGGAATTTATGTGCACATTTCAAAGTTCTGTGTAAACAATAAGGTTCTGTTTAAAATCCAGAAGATATATAACTGGATGCCCGCTTTCTGTCTTTGCAGGCACAGTGCCTAATAAACGTCAGCGGAGATGCAGTAATCTTTATACGTGAATCGGAATTGGAAGGAGCAGCAAACCAGCTCTCCACAAATGGCTCTCAACCTACCAATTCAAAAGATGCCGTAAGTTACAACATGAAGAAGTGAAATGGCTTTAATTATACCTCGAGGTTATCTTCAAAGTGTCAGATGCCATGGCTTTCATTTGTTTCTTTTCAATCAGCAACACTCCTTATATTAAGGACTGCTCCATTTTGAGGCAATCATAGATACTGTCCATCAGATTTCGTAAGAGCCCCTGTGCACACAAAAGAACATCTGTCTAAAGGAAGAACTGAAAATAGCAGATGTTCATCAGAACTGAAGTCATCAGGATATCGCCCTGTATATTATAGGGCCAGAACAAAAAAAATCTTACTTGGAAGCTATCAGAAACAAATGTTACTCATTCTCAGAGGGAGGAAGAGAGGATTTATATTACAACTGGAATATAGCTGAGAAATTCAAATCTCTCCATGTGTTTTGAGAAAGGAAAAGCTGGTTCCAACAGCACTGCCAAATACGCAACATGCAAAGTAAACATAGCTTTTGGAACTAGTGACAATCATCGCCCACCTGAACTGGACAGACTGGATGTAGCTGCATGTTAAAATATGTTTTTTCATGTTTGTGAACTATTGAATATTTTTCTATTGTACATTTTTTAATTTTAAATTGCTAAATAGAATTATGATAAAATAACTGGTGCAGATAACTATTGACATTTTATGTTATTGGAACAATAGCGGTAGATGAAAATCTGCTATCTGAAGTCTGTGAAATCCCAGCTGCGTCTGAAGAGGAAATCAGGGCTTTGGATTTCACAGGTTGCAAATACAAGGAAACTTGGAGAAAGAGCAGTATTCTAGAAAGGCCACCACTCACAGATGGTGTTAAATATGGTACCTAGGAAGATGAGGATTGCTGCAGTAAACAGAGGATTAGACACACCCAGAGGGATTTGATAGAATATAACAATCCATAGATCTGAGAAACTGCTATTAACAGATGCGATCCTAGTCACTTGCATGCGTGGATAGGGGAGATAAATGCATGCTAAAGCATGAAATATGTTTTGAAAGTTTCTGTGGCAGCAATCACTTGGCTGAACAGGCATGCCACTTTTATTAAAACTGGCTTGCCTCTTCAACTGATGAGTAGCTGTAGGAAAAGCTTTGAAAACCTGTGGATGCACTTCTTCCCTCACTCATGGCCATATAGGAGCCCAGCTGAAGTGTTTTTGATGGCCTCCAGTGTGGAACTTGAAGAAAAGATGTAAACTTGAATGTAAATAGATGGCATTTTGCTAGATCTAGGTACAGAAATTATCTATTATTTGTCCAATTCAGAGATTCCATTGTAAATGAGAATGATGAAAATCACATTCCTATTTGCATAATAAAGCTTCTTTCTAAAAAAAAAAAAGATAATCCTGATTTGCTGTTTGGGAGAGGTGGTGAGAAGGTAAGCATGCAACGATTTTTGGGTGGGTTATATCAGTTGTATATTTTGCATTAGTCATGCTCAGAGAATACCCACTGAAAATAATGAATTCAGGCCCCTTAATTACACTGGGTCTATAACTACATCTCTCAGTATCTATTGGCTTTGTTGTAGAAATAGCTAGAAGCAATTGTGGAACACAATCCTTGGAGCTGCTTTGCAGAGATACGTTGAGGACATACTGACTGCTAGATTCTCACAGGTTGTAGAAGGTAACTAACAGGTGCACTAACAGAAAATTTAAATGAGGGCCCCCCCCAATGTTCTGTGAGTGACGTCCAGCAAGTAGGGTCTCAGCTGGCATACTAGATGGAGTTGGTGACTTCTTGAAAGCTGACACAGAGGCAGTTTTCTTGATTCTTTTATCTTAATTCATTTCTAACTCCTAAAAATGGATGTTGTGTACTGTTGTCACACCACCTGCCTATTTTATTTTTTCAATCACTGAAGTTCTGCCAGGAAATAGAGGAAATAGCTTGACAGATGAAAGCTATTTTTCATTCTAGTCCTATGGGAACCCCCCGGTTCCATTTAGTTAACACATTGTTTTCTTTGCTTTAACATCCACCATACTTGGCAGTAACTTTTTACCAGCCTGTGTTAGATAACATACAAAAACGGGAATGGTGACCTCCATCTCCACTGGTTGCTGTGGGGAAATTAATGCTCAACTGAAGGTACAGGCTGTTCTTCTTAACCTCCTGGCAAGGAAGTGCCAAGTACTGGGGGCTGGTCTCTGTTGGGACTGATAGGGAAAGAAGGCAGAGGGGCCAACAGTAGCTGGAGCCAGAATTATTGTGGTCTGCATCCAATACCGGCTTTGCACTGGCAGAAAACACTTCCTTTCACCTTGTTGTCACCAGTCCCTTCTACCCACTTCAGCTCCCCTTGTCTCCTCTGAAAAGATTAGTAAAAATAAGAAAAAGGTAAAGGACTCCTGACAGTTATGTCCAGCCGCGAACGACTCTGGGGTTGTGACGCTCATCTCGCTTTACTGGCCGAGGGAGCCGGCGTACAGCTTCCGGGTCATGTGGCCAGCATGACTAAGCTGCTTCTGGCAAAACTAGAGCAGCACATGGAAACTCTGTTTACCTTCCCACTGGAGCGGTACCTATTTATCTACTTGCACTTTGACATGCTTTCAAACTGCTAGGTTGGCAGGAGCTGGGACCGAGCAATGGGAGCTCACCCTGTCGCAGGGATTCGAACCGCCGACCTTCTGATCGGCAAGCCCTTGGCTCAGTGGTTTAGACCACAGGGCCACCCGCATCCTGGAAAGATTAGAGGAACCTCCAAAACATATTCAGATATGTTACAGAGGGTGGTAGGGAAGGGATGGTCACCAGTATATAGGGCAGGGATATGGAAACCCATTGCCCTTCAGGCCTCTCTGTCTGGCCCTTGGGACATTCTCCGGGCCTGCTTAGCCACGCCTCTCACTTTGTATCCTCCTTGACTGTTTTTGCCTGACTGGAACCTGTCCTTGAACTCTGATGATGTCTTCCGCTTGCCTGGACGGAAGGTGGAGAGGGGTGTTTGGTTGCAAAGAAACTTAGCCTTATAGGTAAAATTCATGTTTATGGCTCTCAGCACTTTTGGCTCTGGCCCTGTCCATGTGGCCCCTGAAAGGCCCAGAAGGGAATGTGGCCCTTGATCTGATAAAGGTGTCCCATCCCCCAATGTAGGGGGATAGTGCTTTCCACTAGTGCAAAGCAACTATTGGATAACCCTGTAACTTCTGAAGACAGTGGTTTTCCTTGTTCTTACAACTGTGTGTTGGCTAAATACATGCTCTCTCTTCAAGCCTTTAGCAGCAGTGTGAGGGAGAGGACTGTGATAGGCAGATTGACGATAAGAGTGATGCATGCGGTTGTGAACTTTTAAGAGAACACACCTTTTAAAGGAGATTCTGAAGCTTGTCAAAGATTTCTTATGCCTAAAGGCACAACTGCTGCTAGAGAGTTGTTGCTGCTGCTATTGTTTTAATCCAGAACCCTGGTTACAACAACAATGTTAAAAGCAGTTTCATAAAACAACTTACAATCACAAAAAGAAGGCGGGACTGTATAAGGCGACTGTAGAGACATAGGCAGTATTTTAGATATTTGGGGCCTAAGTCATTCAGGGCTTCAAACTGTAACATGAGCACCTTGAATTGGGCCAAGAAATGAATTCTCAAGCCTCTATGTTTTGGAAGAATTGCAGCAGGAAGAGTAGCAGCAGTATATAAGTATTTATAATGCTGCACATCACACTTTACAAAGAACAAGTCTCTAGCCCAAAGGGCTTACAAAATCTATATATATATAAAGATGGAAACAATAGAAGATGTAGGGGAGAAAGGCAGGAGTAAGCCTGAGTCTTCACAATCATTTAATCTTTTAGTTACGGTTGTATTGGTTTTTCAGAATAGTTGTTTTTTGAAATGGTAATGAAAATCCCTTCTTGTATGCTCAACTTGATTTAAAACCTCGTTGAACATGCTACTCATTCCCTTAGGATCCCAGTGGGACACACTTGCATCTGCTAAAGCAAGCAAAGAAATAAATCGTTCTCATATTTACTGGAAGCAGCTTTTAAACATGCAAGATCATCACTTTGTGGAAGACGGCTTTCCAAACCTGATAGACTTCACGTGTAGGCTGCCAAAGTGGTCAGATATCAGGTCAAAGAGGGGAATGAGCAGATTTTGCTCTGACTATATGGTACAACCCAGGTTCACCCAATTTCTCACTATATGAGATCCAGCACCTTGCAGTCCTGCCTATAATGCACATCAGGTTCCCTTCATGACACTTGAACAGGAGGTAATTTCTGAGAGCAGAAGTATGTGTTCCTTCTACCAAAAATTAACAGCCGCCATAAATGTTGCCTGCCTATCAAAATGTATGTTATGATTTATGGAGGGATCTGTTGGTGTTTATTTTCCCAGTAAACGTATGTTGTCTGTTAAACGTTTTAACACCACCATCTGGTCTAATTAATGACTTACAATAGTTGCCTCCTCTAAACATGAGCACTACCATGTTGCAAAACATTTGTCGTTGCGCTTGTAGTGAGACAAGGTAGATTCTCATCTTCTGATGATCAAAGAGCTTGTCTGAACAGCGGCTCCCCATTAGGATGTTGGGGCGAGCAGTAGTCTAACAACAGCTGGAAGGCCACAGGTTCCCCATCCCAGGCGTAGCCCAATCTAGACCACTCCTTGTCGTAGGAACATAGTAAGCCTTATTACAGTCATGCCATTGGTCCATTGACTGGCAGCAGCTCTCCTGAATCCCACCATCCTTTCTGGAGATGGTGGGGATTGAACCGGAGGCCTTCTGCAATGCAAACCATGTGCTCTGACTCCCTTCACATTATCTGTTGTTGGCATCCATCTGTCTTGAGAGACAATGGCGTTTGCCTTCAGGGGTGAGGTCAAAACACTGTATTAGCAGCACTGAAGTGACCTCCCCAAGGTGCAAGCCTGGGCAGTGTATATGTAGGTCCTGGGCTGCCCAGTCGACAAGACCTCTCTCTTGACCTTGCTGATGTGGTCCAAAGGAAAGCAGAGCAAGATGTTTGGCACTGGCTTGGCTGCAGGAGTTGTTGGAAGAAGGCATACCAGGTGCCATCCAGCCATCTCAGGGACTCCACTCGACTCTGGATTTGCGTAGGGCTTACTCCTGAGCCTTTTCTTCTCTGGAAGATATATCCTGAAAGGCAGCGGAGGTTTAGGATCAGAGTTTTCCTTCTCCTACATAGGCTACCTTCCCAGGTTGATGAGCCCCATCTGCCCTTCACTTCCCTCTAGGGTTGAATCATTGGGAGCCCACATGAAATAAAACAGAACATCTTAGAAGTATGAACCATAAGGATGAAGCACATTTTGCTTCCTGAGGTAAAGGACAAGATGGCGCTTCCCATTCCATGTACCAAGAACTGATCCAACTAGCACCTGAATCTCACTTAGGCACTGGCAGTGTTCTCCACCACACCTATGGACAGCAGGCAGTTGACAGCAACTACCCAAATGAATGGTGTATCCCCGGAGCATGGGAGGTCTCCTGGAGATACCTCCATACTTAGATGTGACAGCCACTTTGGGCAGGCCAGGACACATGCCACACACACACAGACCTGCTCACTTCCAAAATGATAGGCCCTCAAACCCTGAGTTGGCTATTAGATGGAGCAAGCGGGACCTTCAGCATAAAGTTGCAATGAATTCTCATGTTCCTCAGTGTTCCCGTTCAGCCATTTCTGTTCAGGATTCTCCCTAGCCCAGTTCCTCAGTTTACCTTTTCATCTGGCGCCCATGACTACTGAGCATGCTGAGGTAGGAATACAGGAACCTACCTTGTGCTGCACCACGACCTGCAATTGCTCACCAGGGTTTCAGGATCTTGCCCAATTCCACGTTGAGATTGAACCTGGGACCTTCTGCATGTGAGACAGAGGCTCTGCTGCTAAACTATGTACAGTGGTACCTCGGGTTACGGACGCTTCAGGTTACAGATGCTTCAGGTTACAGACTCCGCTAACCCAAAAATAGTACCTCGGGTTAAGAACTTTGCTTCAGGATGGGAACAGAAACAGTGTGGCGGTGGCGTGGCGGCAGCGGGAGGCCCCATTAGCTAAAGTGATGTCTCAGGTTAAGATTAGTTTCAGGTTAAGAACGGACCTCCGGAACAAATTAAATTCTTAACCCGAGGTACCACTGTAGATGTTTTTGTACCTCTGGGAACCCCAGTGTTTCTGAGCCATCCTATTTTGGCTCCATTTCTATTTTCACATACCATAGAGTTGGATGGGACCACAAGGGACATATAGTCCAGCCCCCTGCAATGCAGCAATCTCAACTGAACTGAATTGTTCAACTGAACAGACGGCAATCCAACCTCTGCTTAAAAACATCCAAGGAAGAG